AAGAATCCCTAGGGGCCGCCTTCTGGTGTGGTTTCCAGAACAAACACTACAGAAATTCTTTCCCTTTGCAGTATTTGAACTGGCTTGATTGAAAGTTTTGCTACCAACCTTCAGATCTTCAGGCCGCAGCTTTCAAAAAAGGAGAAGGGGAGCGGGGCGATAAAACTTTCAGTGCCAACGCAACAGCGTGCATCCCATCATCCTGCCTGCTGTCAACACGCTGTAATTAGCAGCCTAGGTTCATGCAGCCCGTGGCAATTAACTCATTTCTGAAAAATGGGGCGGTATCAGTCACTTTGATCCCATTCTTTGACTTTGCCTTAAGTTCTGGCCAGCCTTAGAGGACTGTCAGGACCGCTCCGAAGTTGATCTTGCTGGTGGAGGAAGTGGGAGAAGGTGCTTCTGCGGAGAAGGGTGCCACCCTTCTGGCAGCAACCCGCTCTGCCTGGCACGCAGAGCACAGCCTCGCACCACGTTCCTTCGCTGGTGGAGACGGGTGCTGCGCGCTCAGCACCGTGTCTTCCTACACCCGGGTAGGAATGCAGCCACCTGTTAGGCTGTTTCACTGGTGGAGATGGGAGGAGAGGACCCGTCTGCGGAATGGGGTGATTTGTACTTTCACCACAAGGGAAAAAAAAATGTATGAAAAAATGCATGTATGAAAAAAAATTGAGGTTACTTTTTGCCTCGCTTTCTAGTGTTAAATAATCCCGCTTCCCCTAGTATTTCTTGTGAAACCGAGGAAATTGCTCCCAACATAGCGTGGCACTTGCCTTTTGTGAAGGTATAGAGTCAGGCTTTCTTTAAAGATGAGTAATCGAGGAGGATATGTACTGAGGCACCACTGCGGGGGTCGAGAGGGGAGAAGGTATCTACTGGGTACGAGTTGTTGAGGCCTACCTAGCATTGATCTACGCTTTCTAGCCACAATGATGACATATTCTTGGAGACTGAAATGGCAGGAGAAGCATTCTGGAACAAATAGACGGTTTAAAGCAGCAAGTGAGGAGGCCCAGATGTTGTATATTGGAGAGCTCAGAAGAGATGGTGTCACGTGGTTGGACTGCTGGTAGAAAGACGCTTTCAGTTGTTAAAAGAGAAGCTGCTCTGAAAGGTGGGAGGGTAGCAGATGTTTTACCTGTTGTTGTTTTTGGGTTTTTTTTAAGGATTCTGTGACTGAACTAATTACAAGGTAGTAAGTCTTTTATATGTACCTATTAAACTGGTTGAAATGATCATCAAGTTATTTGTAGATGTCTGTCATATATTTTTGACCTGATAGCATCTTATCAATGCGATAGCCTCATTTCTCCAGTAGACTGTCTCTCAGTAGTCTAACGGAGTGATTTGAATTTGTCAACAAATCAGGAAATAAAGAACAGATTAATGTAGCTTGCTCAGAAATCCTTTGAAAAGAGGAAAGAGAGAAAGAATTATCATGAATGGTAAACGATCTGAGAGAGGAAACTGGCTGAAAGGTGGCAAAGAGCATCCAAGGGTTCATTCTGAATCCGCCTCGGCGTGTGCCTGGTGGTCCCACTGGGCAGTGACGCGGCTTTTTCAGCTCAGTTGAGATCAGAGGTGGTTCCAGCAGGCTCCAAGCTGCGGGTAACACAGTAGGTCATGAACTTCAGTGTGGAGGAGTGTAAAATAGAGCACAGAGGTGGAAAAAGAGATCAGTCGTATGGAACGCCTTAACGATACCAGATACTGAAAGAGCCCTGGGCATCTATGTTCAGGTAAAACCTTTGCTCAACAAGCAGATGCTTTCAAAACAAAGCAAAGAAGATGTTAGGATGTGCGAGGCCTGGATGGGGAAGGAGTGTGAACAATATAAAACTTCTTCATCAGCAGTATTAGCAGTCTGCTATCTGCAGTACTGGCCTGCGTGTCTCAGAAAAAGCAATGGAGAGCGAAGGAGGTTCAGGGAATACAGATGGAGGTGATTAAGGGTCAGGAAGGATTCTCCTAGGAAAAGGGAAAAGACTGGGACTCTTATTTTAGAGCACAGACACTGGAGGATGTGATACATGTAATTTCATAAAATACTGAGTGGTCTAACGAGTGGATTTGAAGCTTCTGTCCTCCTTGTCTCAACAGCAGACAGTCGGTGAAGTACAAAAGAAGCAAACTGAGAACTGATGAAAAGGGATATTTTCTCTTGGAGTTTTTCAGTTAAACCAGGGAACTCAATTGCATAGATGCCTGTGAGCCTAAAAACGGCAGGATCAAAAAGGTGAGGGTGTTACATGGCTGGCGGGTTATGACAGTAACATTGATGGATTTCTGTAAGAATTAACTGTAGTGGTTCTGGTTTCAAGAAAGTTACCAGGAAGCAAAATTAGTCCCAAATGGAAAGGGCAAGGATCACAGGATAACTCAGGCTGGAAGTGACCTCAGGAGGTCTCTAGTCCAACGTCCACCTCAAAGCGGGGTCAGATCAGGTTCCTCAGGGTTTCATCCAGTCTGTCTGACCTGCTCTGCCTTCTGAAGGGTTCTGGGCTTTTCCTGCAGCGGCATGCGGTGCTGCTCACTGCTGGGGACACGGCGCTGAGCTGGGCAGGCCCTGAGCAGGGCACCTAACTCACCTACACAGGTCGGGTACACAGGTCAATGGAAGCGGCAGAACTTAGCACCATTAGAGCGTGTGCTGTTGCTGTCTCCCTCCCTCTGCAACTTGGAACTTGAGCAAAAAGAGCAGTCGGTACCAAATACACTAAATCTAACCTTTTCCTCCCATTTTCCAGGTTCTATCTTTCATTCTTATTGGTCCTGCTTTGTACCGTTTTGCTGATCCATGTTGACTTGAAGGGCACAGCTGGGCTATAGATTTGGCATCTAAGTGGATAGGTAAGTGCTGCTGTTTATTTTATTTGACCAGCTTTGTGATTTGTTGAGTCCTAAAATCTTCCAAAATGAATTGAATACTGTACTGAAATAAATTATTTTTAAAGCCATTACTTTTCGAGCTTTACAAACCGGTGCCAGAGCTGGCTCTTAGGCACACCAATAGCAGCAGCAGCAGCAGAAATACTGAGATGTTGAACAGAGCAGAAGCCTGTAAATACAAGTCTGGAAAGGGGGGAGTAAGGCAAATTCTTAGCTTTGCATCGTTTGTATGTCTGACTTGGTCTACCTGGGGCACTGAACATTGATCGCAAACACAAAAGCGCTAATCTGTTTCAAAGTTTAATATCAGGAACTCACCATAAATAATACGACAGCACGAATGTGTCTGTGAGATGTATTTAAAGCCACAGAGGATGTGAGATTCTGTTTTTCTCCCCATGCTCTCTCCTACTTAGAAGAAAATGGTCAATTTACAGTGATAACTACACCAAGATTCTGTCCAGGAAAACTAAATTTATGAACTGGCTGCATAAAACTTCAGTTTCTCTCTAACAGGAAATGACTCCAAGATTCACAGCAAAATCCTCTGCTGGTTTGGGAGCCTGAGTTTAAAATAAATAAATCCATTAACATCTGTAATTGCTTATAGGAAAGGCTGACCCATGAAAGTGTGTAACCAGCATTCCTTAGCCTCGCATGTCTGCAGCCAAGCCATTTGAGAAAACAATCTCGCATGTGTTTTTCCTGCTCTTTGAGTCTTTCTGTGCCCAGAGCTTTACTGGAGAAACTGAACCACAGCTGCTGCCATTCCAAGTGAAACACTCCGGTTTAGGCTTGAAAGAAATAGGTTTTGGGAGCAATATAAAACCTCTGGTAAAGCAGCCAGAACCATAGTGAACTTAGGACTAGGAAGAAGAGGACAATCAAAATGTCTAAGAATAGAGATCTAGTTTTAATGTTGCCTGGGGGTTGATGGCATTTCCATCTGGGCATCGTACCTGGTGCTGTTCCAAGTAATCCCTAGCTAGTACTGCTGTTCTTACTGTAGCTGAAAAGATTAAGAAACTCATTTAAAAATACCATTTGTTTAGTCTGTTCACCTTGTGTGTTTGACAGCAGTTTGTGAAACATGGGCAGTGCCGTGGCTTATTGAGCACTCAGAGGAAGAGTTCAGTATTAGTTAGCAGGAGAGCTAATCTGGGGTGTGAGCAGCCATGGAGGTAAGAGGAGAGAAAGGATGAACACGGTTGATAGAGTTGTTCTCAGACTTGTCCCAGAAACCCTCCTGAAATGCCAGAAACTGCCTTTATTTACTTCTCAAAATGAGGTCGGGCTCTCCTTTTTAAAGCTGCTGTGTCGCAAAGCAGAATTTTACACTCCAGAATAGCTGCTTGATCTGAAGGACGGGGTTTTTTTTTCTTCCCTGTTTCATTCCCTGATCTTGTGTTATATAAATGTAAGTATGAATGCATATAAAAAAAGGACAGCCTCAGATCCTGAGCTCCAGGACAAAAGCCTACCCAGTATCAGAGATCTGTTTTGAAAGCTTTCCTCTTCTTTCCTAATGTGGCTTGTGCATGTCTGTAGTACAATTACAGCGATAGTGTTTTGGGTCAATACGTGGTTTTTCTAATCTTACTATTTTATACAAATTCTCTCCTCCTTCAAAGTTGTACCCCAGCCATGTCCCACAGTGCATCTGCATATACCATCCTACCTAATCACCTTTTGTTATTTCTTTATTTAAGGGCTTTATTAAGTGTGTTTCCGAAGCCCTGTAGCATATCACAAAGATCCTGTGCATGCTCTGTATGAACTGAGGTGCTTAACTTAGGGTCTAGAGACCTCTGAACAACCAACTTGTCGATGCATTATGTGTGAAAGCAAGCGGGGTCCTTGGAGAGAGACTGTGCTCTACTAAATGGCTGTGAATTAAGTGTGGAAGAATGAACTGTCAGATCAGCAGAGAAGCGCCCGCTGTGTTGACCTCATTGAAGCCTGGAGAATGGAGATCTTTGAGGTGGTGGAAGGGACTTGGTGAAACTTGCAGGTCACGGAGGACGCAAACCTGAACTGACTCCGGTATCTTCCCCTGCCCTCCCGTCCTCGCAGCGTCGTTAGGCCACAGTGTTACTGCAACCTGCAGGCCAATGGATGAACAGGACAATGATTTTAAAGAGTTGTGGGCAAATCTTTTGGGTAGAGCAAAGAAAAAAGCTGGGGATGCTGAGGCAGCGAGGAGGGCTCAGAACAGGTCAAAGAGCACTGCAGCAAGAAGCAAATTAAGAAGAGGCAAAGCTGCTGCTAAGAGCCAAAACCATCATCACTTACCAGCAGCGAAGGAAACAAACTTGCCTCAAGATTTGGGTCCAAAGGAACAAACTTTGGTGCACAAAGAAGATGGTGACGCTGTGGCCTGTAGTAGTGGTGAGACTGCACAAGGGGATGGAAAAAGAAACCCTTTCCCTGCCAGCCAGCTGAGTACAGTGGCCAGCGAGTGTAGCCAGAGGATCCTGACGGGTGAGTGAACCAAAATCTTTCAAACAGAAAATAGGCTAGGACTGAAAACACTCTGTAGCTCAGTGCAGCTCTCCCGAAGTCCGCCTGGAGGGGACTTACAGCAGCACTGGTCGAAGCAGGCTTGCCTCTTGGGTTTCCATCTACACTTAGCTACTCAGGCTTACCCAGGGGTTCAACCTAGGAGATCAGAGCAAAGAACAGCAGGAACCACAGGACATCCTGCAGTGGGGATGCTGGGGAGAGCGAGGCTGTAGGGCTGCATTGCTCTCGCTAGTGACCTTCAGGCAAGGCCTTCCTTCATATTCCTTCCTCTAAAAGGAATATAGAGGTATCTAAAGTCCACTATAGCACAGAAGCCTGTTACTGGGGCTATCAAGTGTAAAGTCATGTAATAGCTAAACACATTGTTCAGTCCTTCCTCCAAGAATGGCTGTTGCAAAACTGAGCCTGGCTTAGGCTGCTGTTGGGGAAGGCTTCCCAGCAGCTCTCTGGGCAGCTCAGCTATGTGTTTAAAACTGACTGGTAAAGCTCTGGTGTTTTCTCCCTCTCTAGTAAATACTCTGAGAAGCTGTTCCCAGACTACATTATCCTTCCATCCTGCTACGCAGCCAGGGACCTGCTCTTCACCCACCTCAAAGATACCGTCGCTCGCAGGGTCAAAGATGCGGGTAGCAGAGCTGGTAGTGGAGAGAATGCAGCAGTTCAAGAGAGTGGCACCTGAGCAGCTAAAACACAGCACAGATGATAGCTTGCCAAAGTCTGTAGCCGGCGGGGATTTCCCTGACGAAAGCCAGGAGCAGAACCCACCAGAGAATGGTACGTTTCTCTTGTTAGCTCTTATATGTGCAGGAAGAGTGCTGTGGGCTGGTGAGAATGGTTGCACGAGAAGCAGTCTGGATTCCTGGGCTTTGTTCCCAGCTGGCCTAGTGGCTCAGTGTGCAGCACTGAATAAATCACTCCAGATCACTGAGAAAGCTTGCTTTCTCTATTGTTTAAGGAGTAGCCGTACTTTTCGCCCAGCTTTTCTCCGAGGCTGAATTAACTTTATGCTCAATTCTGGAGGGATAATTGTCTTCTTGGAAAGAGGTTGAAATTCCAACAGGATCAGTGAACTTTGTCATCCTTCCCTTGGGACAGTGTTAGGTAGCTGCTAGGTAAATATGACTCTTAGGTAGCCCCCGTCTTTGGTAGATCTCCAAGCACTCTATAAGGTAATATGTTCTGTGAATTCAATTCACAGCAATTTTACTCTGGTTTGGTTCTGTATAAGTCAAGGCCCTGTTGGTTCTGTATGGACTTGCAAATCTGCTGTGTTTTAATACGCGGTGTATAAGACACCATGTTCTCCCCAGAAACTATAGCCAAAATTTGCCTTTCGTTTGGCTCTGACACGTGATGTGATGTGCTGTGAAGGAATTGCCACCTCCTGCTCCCAGGGTAGTGCAGGCCTGTAGAGTTTAAAGTGCAGTTTGTACGTTCCCTTGTGAGAAATCAAATGTGAAGATGCAAGAGAAAAATTGCGATTAATTTTTACGTGTCTAGTTTAATAAGCTAATAATGAGAAGTGTAACAGTTCTGTGCCTTTCATACAGGACACTTAGTTTTCTGTCTTAGACCATCTCTCCCTTCTTTGCCAGATACCGACCACCTTCCATCCACGGAGCACGACAGTGCTCTGGCTTTGGCTCTTCAGCAGCAAACCAAAGAGGAAGCCCTGGCAAGCCTAGAGGATGACGGCTTGTTTTTTTGTCAGATCTGCCAGAAAGATCTCTCAGCCATGAACACAACACGACGAGAGCAGCATGTTAACAGGTGAAAGACCAGCACGATGTGTCCTTTCCACATCCTCTCCCCCTTAACCTCATAGACTGCTCAGTCAGCTTGGCCATTCAGAACATGGTAGCAGGGGAATCTGCATGGTGGTATTGACCTTTGTGGCTTGAATTAACAAATCGTTTTGATCTCAAAGCAGAGGCTGATTGTCTGGCCCTGCAGGGCTCCTGCACGTGTGTGGTAAGGCCAATGCTGCTTTCGTCAGTAGTGTGGCAGAGGGGCTGCGACTGTGAAGTGGCTAGCAAAATTAATGAGGACCCACTGCTGCAGATTTTGAGATCTACTGATTTCAGCCAACAAAGTAATGTTTGATCTGTTTTGCTAAAAATTGTTTGTCTAAGGACATCTAGTATGTCCTGCATATCTGAGCTCTTAGCTGAGGGAAAGGTGATACTGTTCAGTATCTGACTAGCTCGTACTGCAGAGCTTTGACCATGAGAGTAGAGAGGCTATGGGAAGGTGTCCCTGCCTTCCCTTTTGTCAGAATGTATGCAATTAAATTGAAATTAGTGACCTTAATTTAACAGTTTTCCTAGTGGTAAATATCAAGTGCAGTTAATATATTATGTACAGATAGCTCTTTGTAAGTTAAAAGTCTGTGCTTCTCTGTTGAGAAACTATCAGAAACAGCGCATTTGAATCATTTTAATTTCTTAATTCCAGCACTTTCAGGGGGCAAGAGTGATTTGATTTGTCCAGTCCTACATCACGTTATTGAGTGGCTCACATTCATTAGGGTTATCTGCAGCCGCAGCTTTAGAGGTGTCATTGCTGTTTCTGTCTTCAGCTATTTACTGCTGCTCGAGAGGACAGAGGCTGTAAAACAGCGGCAGTGTGTCAAAAATGTTTTTTGGAAATTAAGTCTGCTTTCTGAACATTACATTAAGCATGTAATCATATGATGAGATTACAAGGTTATATTAGGAATGGATTTTTTGATAGCAGTCTTCATCATGAGAGGTAAAGCTGTAGATGGATGGATGCACTGGCAAACTAGTAATCACCAGTCCTGGTACGTCGGATGAACGGTCTCTTGCACAACCCTGTATGCGTAGGTAGTGTGTGTCATCACCTAATCAGGGAGTGATTTTTATAACAGGTACTGCAGATCCAGGATTTCACACCCTGAATCTCTTTGGAGAGGACAGAAAAAGAACCATTAAAATTTTTTACATAGTTTTGGCCTACCAGAAATTATTAGGAGTTCATTATCCTTCACTCTTAAGCGCAGTGTTCATTTTGACTGGTCCCTTTTCTGTGACTTAAAACACTGTCCTTGTCAAGCGAGACATCGGACTTGAAAATGTTTGCATTCTTGACACTGCGTGTGGTTGTGCCTGCAAAAGGAGTAAGAAGGACAAGAAGTAGTCCTCTTTCGGGTGAGGAAGACTCACCATTTCTCTGGTAGGGTGATTCTTTTATTCACGGTGGTTTGTAAGTTAGCTGGAATGTTAGAATGAATGCAGAAAAAGGGATTAGGTGATGGACACGCAGTGAAGTTAAGAAGGTTATTACCCGCACTTCCTTCTGAGCAATGTGTTTTTAATATGCCTCTGAGGCCATAATTTCCATGTAGCTGTTATACATCATATTCATTGCAGTGGCGGGTACATAATTCTTGTGTCTTTAGGGGATGTTTCTTTGGCTGTTGCAGATATTAGGGATGATTGTGCTCCCTTTTCTTTACAATGGTTTAAATCTTAGCGTGGACAGTTCTAAAGTCTTCAGAGGTAAGCTTTGCCGTCATCTCACAGGTGTCTGGATGAGATGGAAGAAGCGCAGATGTCATCCTCCAGCAAACCACTGGTCCCTGAATGTCCCATCTGCGGGAAGCAGTTCCAAACCCCGCAGAGCCGAGTCAGTCACTTGAAACGCTGCGCCGTCGAGATGGATGTTCCTCCTAAGCTGCTTCTTCAGGCAGTGCAGTTGCAGGTGTCCTCGCTTGGTGATGCACCTCCTCAGTGTCCCAGGTAAGCTGGTGAAAATAAGAGATGCTGGTTACTTTCTTTGGCCTGAGATGACCCTGTGCTTCTGGGGATGAAGGGTAGAAGCAAGGCAGACTCGCAGGCTGGGTGGGCTCCAAGTCTGAAGAAGGTCAGGCAGAGCCGTGACCCAGTACCACGTGAGGAGAATGTGGTAGTTAGTTGGAGAAATCATCTTGCTTTCCTTCAGAAGTGGTCAGGTGGTGGATGACTTTAAAAGTCAGCAGGCAGGAGCAAAACAGGGAGTAAATAATCTTACACTGGTTTGTCAGAAATATTCGTGCTCTATGAGGCAATTACACAGCGAAGCTGAATGGTGTGTTTGAGCTTATTAAGCAAACCGCATAGTACGAGTATGCAGTCTCTCCCGAGCATCTGTCGTGCCAAGGCCTCAGCTATTCAGCTTGTGGCTGTACTGGATATACGTGCTTTACACCCCGAGCCACGGAGGAAACAGATGTGATGGTTTGAAATGTGCTCGGCACAGAGCTGCATCTGCTGTCTTGCGTTTGAGCAGAATCTTGGGAGTACAGCAAGCGGTGCCTGACTGAATTTGTAGAAGGGCTCATAAGTCCCTTTATGCTGAGGAAGGACCGTTGCCTGTTCCCTGTGGAAGCAGAAGAGTGGGAGAGCATTTTCTGGTGATCTTGTTTTTGCCCTGCTTCAATTTGTTTTTTCCCCTTTGGTACAAAAAAGCATTCAAGGTGGAGATAGCAGACGCTTACATCAGTGCTGTGGTCTTGTGCTTACCTTTTCAAAATAAGATTTTCTCTAAATTGCTCTAAATTCCATGGATGATAAGAAATCCTTTGCTCTCTGCTAGGGGAGAAAGTAGCGAATAGTTTCTCATTACCCTGGATACGGGAATCTCTCTGAGCAAGTCGAGCAGCTGGTCTGCAGTGCTCAGTGTTTCTTGTCTCCGATCCAGTCACGTTAACTTAGGCTTCCTGCTGCATTCTTGTATTTCAGCAATCAACCGAGCAGGTCAAAGCGAAAAGGCTCCTCCAAAGAGGACTCAAAGCAAATGCAGAAGAGGGCCAAATTGGAGACTAAGGATGAAGATTTGCTGGTTGCTATGGCAATGTCACGCTCTCTGTTGGAGCAAGAAAAGCAGGAACAGGCAAAATCAGTTACAAATGTGAAACCAGTGGCTGCTTTGCCAATCAAATGGAAGCCAGGATCAGGTATGTGTTAAAGTGAGTTAGTGTCAAAGGCTGTGATGTTGGAGGAGTAACGTAACAGCCTGCTCTTCACTAAAACTTTCCTATTGGGTACAGGAGGGATGACAGCCCTGTTTCTGTTTTATTTAAGCTGTCAGAGCTTCAGCAATATGCAGTATCCGCACACAGTCAAGAAAGCCTGCAGGATGTCCATGGGTTTTAGTGAAATCTCTTAGGAATCTTATGCTTTTTTCACTGATTAATTGTTTTGAATCTGTAAAATATTCTTAAGATAAGCTGTTGTTTCTTGTAAACTGTGGAAGTGAAAAGAAATAACATGAAAAGATTATTGGTATTTCTCCTGCAGTAGATTTTTTCCTATTCATCGTGCTGCAACCTGCGTTAATGCAGCTTTTTCAGCCTTATCTCTGTTTTCTGTAACAGACGTGTATACTACATGCTGTTGAGCATGTGCTTCGCCATTTCAATGTGCAAAAAGGTTTAGAAAGGAAGACAGGGAAGAGTGTTTAGAAAGGGAGCTGCTAGGGGAGTGTTGAGTGCTGCATAGAGGGGAGACTTCACTCTTTATCACCCTGCTCAGGTCTCCTTCTGCCAGTAGGTACTGCCAGTTGGATTTGGGGTTGGGATTTGGTTGCTCTTGCCTACAAAGGTTGGACCAGATGATCCTTGAGGTCCCTTCCAACCTGGTATTCTATGATTAAGGCAAAGGTAGTAAGACACAGGATTTCCAAATGAAAGCTGCTCAGTGTTCCTGTGAGCTGTGGTTTGATATCATCAGTGACCTGTACACAAAAAAAAGAGTCCTTCCTGAATTTGTTGGCATTTTTTTTCTCCCTTTTTTGCGAAGCACTGGGATTTAGACAAGTGCCTTACAGGCACCATGCCATGGGTCTGGGAGGTAGACTGCATGGGTATCAGCTGCTTCTGTAATGCTCAGCTTCTGTAGAGATGTGACTGCTCCCAACAGGCAGCAGAGCAGTGTGTGAGCCGGAGTCAGTCTTTCCTGGAGTTCATTTCTCCCGTAAGGGCGATGTGAGGCTTCGGACTACCTGCAGAAGTCTTCAGAGTTGTGTTCAGCTTGTAGCTGCCTTTTGGTCGTTACTGACTACACCACCTGAAGGATCGGGCATGTTGAGCTCCTCTGCCCCATGTGTTCAGCTGTTTATTTATCTGGGTTCCTCTTCCTTTTCTTTTTAAAGAGAAAAAACGGCGTAAAAGAGGCCCAACTGCACCTCCACCATTACTGCTTCAGGACCCGGAGAAGGCCCGCAAAAGGATCGAAGAGCGAGTAGCTATGCTGCTTGCAGAAGAGGTGGAATTCCCGCCCACCCCTCGCCTTCCCGCAAGTAGGATTTTGGAGGATGAATCTGGGAAAGCAACCTGGCTCTTGCCGTTGTCCAAAACCAGGGAGTGCTTTTTGTGGAATATCAGCGCTCTGACAGGACCCTATGACCCCGAATCATTCTACGCTGCTGGATTAACCCCTCCAATTGTGCCTTGGAAGCCTGTGCAGGTGCGATGCTCTTTTGTCCGTGCTCTGGTACTTGTGTGCCCTAGTTCATGTGCCCTGTAACCCTGCTGTTTCCTCATTCGGTATTTAAACGAGCGATCCCCTGGCTCTGCATACTGATACTCGCTGTTTGTGCCCTGTCGTCCCCTGGTCTTACACAGTTAGGTTGTATGATCTTGAACTTTCATTTCTCCCTTTCAGAGAGGAGGCCACGGCTCACGTTACCACGTTATTCCTCAAGCTTTCAGAAAATATAACTGATGGGAACAGAGAGTACTGAGTAAAGGGACCCCATTGTGGTCATTTTGCCACTAGTTAGTCCATGTTCACAGCAGCCTGACTCTTTGTTTTCCTTCTTGGCACTTTTCTCTGATTAATTCTAGTATGAGCTTTGCCGGTGTGTTGCACTCAGCAAGGATCTGGGTGAAAAGTTTAAACTGAAGACTGATATTTGTCTTGCACAGAGGAGAAGGTGGGAGCACCTGGAGTTGTAAAGTGAAGCATTTGCACTTCAGGCTTTCCCTGTGCATCCCGCTGCCTCTTGTTGCATATGAGCTTTGATCCAGTTTTCAGTTCCACTGTTTCATTCTGGTTTTCATCTAGATCTCCTGCCTCTTTCAGTGCTCTGTATTTTTATAAAAAGTGCGTACAGAAGTAGACAAAGCTCTTTTAGTCTCATGACACACTTGCTCGCTGAGAAGAAGGATTTCACTTCTCTTCCTTCCCTCATTCTTTTCTTGAAGAATTTGGTGCTTCCATTCAAAAACTACTGTGCATATGGAGGTGCTTTATTTAATACTTCTTCCCTAGTCAAAGGCCAGAGATTTTCACTGGCTTATCGCGGGCTAGGGCTGTACTGGAGGGGCTCCGTTCTATGAAGATTTTTGACCTTTCTTTCAAGCCAAATGAACTGCCAGAGTAGTTTAAAAATAAAACGTAGAAAAGCCTTTAAAATCATGGCAAGAGCGTGTTTTCCCATCTGATTCTTTCCATTCACAGAAATGGCTAAACCATTTTTACTTAGAAATAAACAAACAAAACTATTTTTATTGGGAAACAGAGACAAAACCTGGAAAATATCAACTCCAAGGTGAAAGTTTGATTTAGCTACATGTAACTGCAAAAGCATTTCAGAACTCAGAACAGAAGCACCTGGAGAGCTTCAGCTGTGACTGTTGCCAGGCACTCCAGCTATAATGAAATATTTAGATGCTGGAGTGGGAGCATTCCCACCATCCTTTCTCCCTGCTTGGCAGTTGCCTGCACAGACATGCTCCTGGAGAAACCACCTTTTCTGCACTTTCTGTTGTCATTTCCTTTCTTCTGTTCAGAGCTGTCTTATCTCTGGAGAGTCCTTCATAAAACTGCAGTGAGCTTTTTCCTCAGAAGCCCCTGTACCTGGGGAATGCTCTGTAATCCTTTACTAGATGTTTCAAAAGTATGAAGTAGAGACTGTACTCTGAGCTCTGCAAATACATAGAACGAGACCTAATTTATTGGTGTCTTTTTTTTCCCTTTTCTCTTGATCAGAATCATAAGCCAGAGAACCTTCTGCCATCGGTGGGATCTGATCAGCCAAAAGTATCCCAGCAAATTCAGCCTGACCTCAGTTCTCATGAACCCACTTGCACAGAAGTTGGAGGCCAAACTTCTGATGAATCCAAGTCAGGCCCTGAAGGAGATGGGCAGCTTTTATCTCACAGCCAGAAGGACGCTCAGACCCTGCAGGACCTAGTTGAGTTGGCCAGGGAAGGACTTACCCTTACTCAGTGGAACCTTGATGTTGGCCGTGTTGAGGCAGCGGAGCAGCCAGGTAAGTTCTGGCAGCTTTGTGAGCCCCGTCCCTAGTCCCTTCAGCTACCCAGAGCCAGACTTAGGAGAGCCGTGACAGCACCCACAGGATGTTGCTGTTGATCCAAGAGGTGATGTTGTGGGGGGACATTTTTCTGCAGTAAGCTTTAGCTACAATCAAGCTGACGTTTCTGAAATGATTCATAAATCCCAGCATTTAAGAGAACTCCTGGACAGCACATACTAAATTTTATATTAAAATTCCCCTAAAGATATCAAAGTATTTTCTGCCAGGAGGGAGCCTGGACATGTTCAACAGCTGGGACAAAATCCTCATCCCTGCTATTTGGACAGTCTTTCTGTTATGTGCACTGTCTTTTCAGGTCTTGAGACAACTGGATGAGAGAGATGTGCAAGAGGGATGATTTTATGTTGGTACATCGATTACACAAACCTGAAGTTTATCTGTACCTATACAGGATTGAAAAAATACAACATCTAGAATTCCTCTATGGGCAACTCTCTAATGTCCCCAGTCACAGTTGCAGGTGGTGCACAACAGCACATTTCAAGGTCAATGATATCTCTTAAAATGGCCTGGCTGTTCAGCAGAATGTGTTGTGTGTCTCCTGTTCACCTGTGAAAGAGAACGTGGTTGCTAAGTTCACCTGTCTGCTTTTTCACTTGGGCATAGTATTCCTCACTTCCCTTACTAAAGTACACCAAATGATTCCTGGTCCTCTAAAACTACTCCTGGGATTTCAGTGGAGATAGAGCTTCCCAGGTGAGGGAAATAATTTCCGCGCATAAATGTGTATTGTGTGTGTAAATGAAACCAGGTGAAAAAAACCACTGTGCAGACACTAATGCACCAAAACCCATTTCTGAAGACATTAATTTTTTCTGTTGCTCTGCATCCTGTTCTGTGCACTCCATAGACTACCGCAGGGCTCAGGCTGTGCAAAACTGATTTCACTGGCTGCCTCTGAGCACTAGGGCCCGCAGCATTTTGCCTAGCTTGAAATGCGGATCCAAGATACATTCTCCCTGTCTGCTAGGATGAGACCATGGCATGTCCCATCCCACTCCGTGTCATGGTTTTTTTCCCCGCTGGAGGAAAACCGAGATGCGAAAGCAGAGAAGCATGCTGCGCTCCGCAGTTCCTCCATCTGGACGATTATGGCACACGCGGATCCGCAGTAGGTTGGTGCTGCTCCTGGCTGAATGGTACTTGGGTACGCACAACCTGTCACAGCCCAGAGCCAAACCCTCCAATAAAGGCGTGAGGGAGAGGCTGAGCCTTCAGCTCCGTTAGGCTGGTTATAGCAGCTGTCTCGGGGAGCTGACATGGCAAGGATCCTGTTAGGAGTTCTTACATCACTCTGTCTCACAAAGAAGTTGTATGTGATTTGTGATACGCATTTTCTTCTTTGAGGAGAAGAACTGACTTCCAGCGAGACTCCACACAGTGGCTTTGTGCCCCCTTCCAAAGAGAAGAGCCTCCTGACGAGCAACTGTAAAAGAGTAAGGACAACCCTTTTTTCCACCTTTTTTTTTTTATTTATCACTGTAAAAAAAGAAGCTATTGCATTTGTGCAATTCATAGAAGTGTGGAATATTTCCCATTCCTTTCCATAGAAACAAAGAGGTGCTTAAGGTTCCCGGTCACTCAGGAATCGCCGTGGGCACAGGTGCGATCAGCACACGTGGTGGTATTCCACTGATGCCCACAAGCAGGCCTGTGGATTTTTCAGTACTTGTCCTGCCTGGTGAGAGAGCTGATTTAAAACAACCAGTAACATAAGGCCGATCTGTGCATAGTTTATATAACGAGAACCAGGTTAAAGAGTTAAGTTATAGCACTAAGAGTATTTGGGGGTAGGAGCTAGGGATGCAGCTGCACCACGTTAGGCAGTACTCTGCTTTAACGCCCAGCCTATCCGAGAGAAAATTGGTTGCAGCCCAGGAGAGACAGAGCTGCCTGGTGCTTCCTGCAGGCTCACACACTCAGCTACTTCGGGTGGAACGAATGGAGCTGTTCCTCCTCTGTCACCTTCCTCTCCACGCCGTGCCTTGCAGTGGAAGAGAGAATTCTTGCAAGGACTGCCTGACTTGCACTAAATTCTCTCATCTGGCATGAAAGCCTGGTAGATGATGTGGAATGCTGTGAGGTCCATGGAAGATGAGCACTTTTTTGCTGCTAATGTGAGGTTTTAACAGGTTTAGTATAGAAAATCCTCAATTGTGGGGACACATACCAGAGGATCTAGCTTGAAAATCAGTGTGCCTCTCTGTGGTGACTAGGTGAAGAATGCAGGCTAGTAAGTCACAGATGATTTTTTTATCACGCCAGTAGTGTTCTGTAGACCACATCTTACCCCAGATGCACCAGTGGATATGTATAATCAGTTTTCTTCAGTTGAAGTGCACATAAAAACCCCCTAATTCATCTTCTTACCAGGGTCATCCACTTTACCTGGTGAAACTTATTATCTTCGGTTTGATAATAAATAATCATGCCATGAAAGCTAGTAGCTTTTGATGCCAGATAAATTTTGATGCCTTGAGAAAGCACTTTCATATTGTGCTAACAGAATTAAGAGACTTGTAAAAGGAGACTGTTCTGTGAGGTGGGAATCTACTAAACTTGAGCATCCCAGCTACTTGTTACAGAAACTCTAGATATTCTTCGAGGGTATTAAAAAAAAAAATAATCCTTAGCAGGAAAAAAGTCTTGTTTTATAAGCTTCTGAGTCTATTAAACCAGAGGCCTTTAGCAATACAGAAACTGTTCTGATACTGTTGTTGAAACTCAGTTGCTACCAGCAAAACCAGTATGATCATTTTTAGTATGATCAGATTTAGTTTGATTCCATGATAGTTTTCCTGAGCAAATGAAGTGTTGCTGAAGAGTTGGATTGCCAGTGGGAGAGATTTGTGCTTTATATGAGCACAGAGTGTAACCATGTTGAGCAAATACATCCATTGCATTGGTAACACATCCCCCCGCCCATGCTTAAGACCCTTGTCACATCTGTGGAGTCCCGTCTAGCTGGCCTCCTCGGTAGGAGAGAGTGTTCTGGTGTGTTCTCTGACAGGAGCATGTGCCCACTCGGAGCTGTCTTCAGACCAGTCTGCTTTGCACAGAGAATGGTGCAGCCAGGAGGTTTCTAGCCTTGTTTAATTTCCCCATTCCTGATTGATAATTTTAGCATC